GATGAGAGCGAGGACAAATACGGCAGGTAAGGCGAGGACATGTAGTCCAACTTCAGGGCAACCACTGAAATCCCCCTTGCTCTGTGCCACCAACTATTTCTAGCAAAATCTGTATAGGGATCCACACTTTCATTGTGCTTGGATCTTTCCAATGTGCCTGCACTTTCCGGGAGGCTGTGAAATGAGCCCTCCGTCAAGGCACCAGGCCAGCCTGACTTGCTCTATTAAGCTACTTCATCAATACACCTGCTTTCAAACTGCCTCTAAAGGAGAGGCCGCCACAGAACACTATGGGGAAGGACACGGGTGCCATGGCAATCTTTTCAATGGGGTGGGGAAGGAGTGCATAGGGCTACTGACAAATAACCAGGAAATTGCCAGCCTCTTAGAAGAAAAAAAAGCTGAGATGCCACTTCTGAATTTTAGTGCTTAACAATCCTAATCAAATTCTAAATGAGAAAGCCAAAATGTGATTCCTGTGGTGTTTGCCAGGAATATGAATGCAGATCCACGGGCATATGCCTAGTTCTTCTTTTGGAAAAAACAGCAAGTGTGTCAATCACTGTGGACTTTAGCTTATTATTTTGGAAGCAGCCCCATGTACTGATACCAAATTCATCCCACCACACTGAACTGGGCTGCAGAAAGCAGAAAATGTGGCTGAGACAAACATCATTTTACCAAACACTGAGATACATTTGAAATTCAAAGGATGATGAAATGTGCACACACCTAGCAGATTAGCCAGGTCACTACTAATATTTTCATGATGAATGTTAGGATTTATTCCCCTTTACATCTGGGGAGTAGTCATCTTTGTAAAAAGACATAAAAAAGAATGGAAAATTCTGAGGCTGCTCAGTGAGATGTGCAATCTTCCTGTTCTACCTCAAAGACCTAATTCAAGCTCAGGCTCACAGTTCAGGTGTCACCCCTCTTCAGCTCATCCTGATGGGTCTTAGCTGTCAGGGACTCACACAAGGCCCCTCAGGCGCTCCATGACTGGGATGTGTATCCTTAGTCAGCACTTTCACAATTTCTGTTGGTATCTATTGGTTGCTGAAATACTTTCAGAAACAAATTCTAGGACTAAGGTGGGGATGGGGTGGGGGGGAGTAATAGGAACATGGGAAATGTACAGGTTGTTGGACAGTTACAATTGAAGAGTGTCAACATGAATTTTTCTTTTGACTCTTTCGCCCTGATCCTCTCAATACATCCCACTCGAGCCTGCAACCAATATGGTAAAGTACAGGGATCTCCAATGAAAGCATAGCCAGTGAGCTCTGTTTTTGATTTGCTTGGTTACACATGGAAGCTGAAACTCCATTCTCCATGGACAGTGCCCACACTAAAGCCAAACTATGTCACGAGGTCCCTGGGGACTTCTGAGCACACTGTTCCAGGCTGCCTTCTTGCCTTCCTTCCAATTTACTCACTCATTCACTCCTCATCGAGTATTTGTCACTCACACATCTCCATGTTCCAGACATTTGCTATGTATTGATGACTGAGAGAGACATGCCCTATCCTTATGATGCTTGTTACAATAATCAAAAGCAGAGAAACCATTAAATCATTAGAGAGTTTGGTTAAGTGCTCCAAAGGACCTAATAGGATGCAGTGATGGTAGGCCTACCAGGAGAGGGTGGTTCAAGAAGGCCTCTCCAGAGGGGTGGCCTTTCAGCCAAGACGTGAAAGATGAGGAGGATCCCGGCATGCTGAGGGTGAGGGGCCAAGCACATCAGACAGAGGGACAGATGCGCCATGGCTGGGAGGTGGGAGGCTCAGCAGGAATGATGCATAGCAAGTCCAGGGAAACTGCCAGGGAGAGACAGGCCTGGAGAGCTTTTGGAGGCCAGGGAAAGTGAATATTATCTTAAATGCAATGGGAAGCTACTTAAAGGATTGCAGTGGGGAAGATATGGACTAAACTATATTAGATGATGTGTAAAAAACAGATTGAACAGTAATAAAAGTGGGAAAGGAGGGAGCATGTATGACAGAAACTGCAAAATGCCTCCCAGTAGCCATTCTCCCCTACTTCCCTACTATGAGGACTCCAGGTCTATTCTGAAGAGCAATAGGTCCAGTCAAAAAGTGTTTTCCCATTTGCCTTGTAATTAGGCACGACCACATGTGGTAACTGTACAACAAGATGTAAGGGGAAATCTGTTGGGGATCTTTGGTTAAGTCTTGCTTTCTTGCACTAAAGCTACACCCCATCTGCTTTTTTTTCCTCTTTTTTTTTTCTTGTGTGACTCCTGCCTGGACAGAAGGATGTGATGGTAGGAGCAACAGCAGTCATCTTCGACAACCATCTAGGAAAGTCTAATAGCATCACAGTAACCTCAGGCCTGACAGCCTTGAACCACTGCCCCAGTGCCAACAAACACCTAAATCTGGATTTTACTGAGTGTGAAAATTAAAAAAACCATTTGTTTAGGACAAAGTTTGGAAGGGTTTTCTGTCACTCACAGGTGGACACCATATCTAACTGACACAGCAGGCTATCATCCCAGTTCAGGCAGTTCAGGCAGTCTGCACGTGAACGGTGGCCATTAAAAAAAATGAAGAAAAGTAGTCAGTTTTCAATGCTAAAATAACAATTTCCTGATGGCCTAGATGTGGGCTTTGGTGGTGGGAGATGGTGGGTGTAAAAATTACTTACAAGACTTTTGTCTGAGAATTTATTAAAGAAGAAAAAATGAACAGGAACAGGTTTGAAGATCAAAAGGAAGAAGTCAGTTTTTGATATTTTATAGTTGAGGTGCCTGACAGGCATCCCTGAGAGTCACCGCCACTCCTGGGTTACCCTGAGGTGGGAGCAACCTCCCAAACTCCTGGTCCCGCTGCAGCCCTTCCTGCTCCGCTTTACAGGGAGGAGCGCGCCAGCCTACCTGTAGAGGGCGCTCCCTCCCGGCTGCTCTGCACGCTGAGGGCCCCAGGCAGGCGGGCAAACTTGCCTCCCGATGCTTAACCCCGAGGACCAGCACTTGGAAGCCCTGAGGGCTGCAGGTCCCAACCTCCTTCTCCAGATCAGCTTTTAGCAATAATAAAATGCTGACGTTTGGATCCCCACACTCTAGACTTCATTTCTCTCTCAATATTTCAAACCCAGGGCAGTTTATACGTATATAATGTTAGACACCTCACATTCTTTCAGCCACATAATCCAGGCATCTTTTTAAAAGGTGGTTCTTTGAATAGATACAGCCAAAGCACACAAAATTCCTCCCCCAATCTAATTTACGGAGTACTTTTTGCTCACTAGCAACAATTCTAAATAAACTCACATTCTTCCGCAGTTTACAGACCCACCTGGCAGGGAAGACGCACCTTGACTCTAACAACCAAGACAGGATGGCAGCCACACATTAGATTAGGGAAGGAATTCAGTGTACTTTGGCAATATCTATTCAAAGAACCACCTTTTAAAAAGAGTCAAGGGTTGAGTCTTCCCTGCTGGGTGGGGCTGTAAACTGAGGAGGAATGTGAGTTTATTTAGAATTCTAGCTAGTGAGCAAAAGGTAGTCTGTAATTGTGCTCCTGTTCAGGCATTTGGCCTCCTGCCATAACTTTGCAGGAATTGTATTATTAGAATTGTGACCTTTCCTTCTCTTCCTTTTCTCCATTACCAATCCACCCTTACCTCTCCCTACCTACAAAACCATTTTTGCTTCCCTATTTTAAAGAGTGGTATCAACTTTTAGTGTTCTTTATCCTACCCCTAGTAACCCTAACTTCAGAACTGCTGGACACACACAGTTGGGTAAAGGGCTATTCCTCAAGACTGGGAGACCTGGGCAAGGTGGTCTGATAATGGTCCATGTGAGATAGAGGAGTTCCACTTTTCCTATGCCTTTTCTACACAGATATGTGGCCCAGGTTGGTCTTGTATTGGATATTTTGTCACTTATCTGCATTTGTCATCAGGAGTTTCTTACATGATATTTTACACCACTGTAAAAACTGTCTTTTGACAACAAAGTCATATAATACATTTTTACACTTAAGATCCTGGTTTTTCATGCTGCTCTCTCTTCCCATCCTAACAGCTACATTAGCTCTTGGGTCTACACTGATGAAAGAGTTGATAGGCATTTTGGCACATTATATCATGGAAAATAATACTTATTCTCAGAATGATCATGTAAATTGCATATGTCACACTCCTGTGTGGCACCCTGCACCTGGTAGAGAATGGTACACAGCATTGTTATGGTGTCATTCAATGGTTTCACCGAGCACTGAAAGTCAGCAGCTGTGATGCATTATGCCACTGTGATGTTAATGACAGATACAGAGTGCCCGTAAAAAAATATATGCCCTTTTTCTGAATAGAGCCCTGGGTAATTGCCCTGACTATTGTTCTATAAGAAAGCTCCATTTATACCCCTTCATCAATTTAGGGTCTGGAAAAATCACCAGCATTAAGTAGTAAAGGCAATTTGTTTTCCAAATGAAGAAAGGAGGAAAAATATTAGTAAAAAATCTTTATTCCTGATTTGCCTGTGTTGACAGACAATGCTCACCTCAAATTAAGGATCCTGAGGAGTTGTTTTTCGGATGTTACCTTCTTCCCAAACAGAGCCCAGGGACAATGTGTTTGGGGTCTGCTTCCTACTGTCAGCAGTAGGAGGACAGGCGGGTCTGTGCAGACAGCCCTTGGGGATGAGTGGCTGCCCTCTGAGTGTGGTGTGAACTGTGGTGGGTCCAGCAGGCATGGATGCGTCTGGTTGCCCTGCCCTGGCGGCCCGCCTGGTATTCTGAGGAAAAGCTGCAGAAATGTTGCTCACCTTGAGAAGTAAGCTCTCAGGGTAGGGTCCGTGTTCCTCCAAGTTGCCACAGAACATGAAATAGGTTATGAGGTTTGCCATTCAATATGGAGTAAAGTGGGAAATTATTGAACTACTTACCCCCAAATGAAAAAGTAAAATGAACACAAAGGAAAAGGTAAAAATCACAATAAAACAGATGGTCCCCAAAATTGTACTTACATTGAGTGAGGATTCCGGTTAAGGCGTTTTTAAAATTCTCCTTGGCTTCCTCCATCTCTTGCTCATGGGCAGCTTTTTCATTCATTAGCCGGCGGACATGGCTGTTGGCTGACTGCACCATAGAATAGAACTGGTTTGCAGAACGTCTGTTCACTTCTCCTCGTTCAATCCAGGAAAGTAGCACTGTGATAGCTTCTGAAAACTTGCTATCATCTGGAAGTGGAACACCACCAAGTAGACATCATGCCAAGGCAGGAAAACATACTTTACTTGGGCCCCTCATAGAGGCAGAGCATGGTGCATCCTAACAGATATATGTTTCAGAACTTGACATATCGGCTTTCCTGAGACTCACTGCTCCGCCATCCCTCAGCTTCTTTTGTCTCATCTGACTCCACAGCACCGAAGAGCCATCTGACAGGCACAGGGTGGTCCACTCTCTCACCCACCCACTTGGTGAGCTCCATTTTAGAAGATCTGTCCCAGGCATTCTTTGTAATATAGCACAACCTCACTCTTCCACCAAACTCTGACTTCTCTTTCTTATGACTGGCTCCAAAAACCATTATTAACCTATTTGGCCTCTATTTAATTTCGTCATTCTCTCATCAGAAATATTACAGTGATATTAATTTTCTAACATAGAATCAAGCTGAGTTAGTGCCAAAATGTGGATGACAGATTAAATTACTTTAAAACTGGTTGTAATATAAGATAATGTTCCCAAGGTGGTTGTAGGAATAAGTCAATCCTTTTTCTACTGCAGTTCAAAACTAATTTCATTTTAGGTTTAATATAATATATTTGATCAGGTTGAAAAATAGAGTATTTTCTTGTTTTTAACAAAAGAGCCCTGTTCCATTGGGTGGTTGCTTAAAAACATCTGGTGAGTAAAATAAAACTCTTTTACCAAATATGAATCACCCTATATCCATTCATCTGGAGTGTATATGTGTATGCATGTGTGTGTGTATATGTTACACACACACACACATGCATACACATACAGCACATACATGCACGATGCATAAGGATGTTTCTGATGTGGTTGCTATTTGCTTGGGAAGCCTATTGCAAACCTACCTGAACCTGGTTTGAAGTATGTGTGTGGGGTTGGGGGGCTCAGAGTAAGGAATGAGGTGCCACTTATAAATAAGTGATAAAGTTTATTTGAAAGAAAGCAAATAGACTTGCCTGTTTGGGAATGGTTACTGCAACAAATCTGAGATGTGGCTTAGAAGGAGAGACAAAGCAAGCTGGAAGGTAATTAAGTTAATTACAACTGGAAGTTGTGTGTCAGTTATAACAACATTGATCGATCCTACTGCTAAAAGCACATAGCATATATCCCATGAAACGGTGGAGGGGGTGTTTTTCACTTGTATTTTTCTATCCCTGGAAACCAATTTCAGAAAAATATCCTACATTTTTGAGTAAACTAAGTAGACTCTGATTTCAAAAATCAGAAGTAAAATTTGACTGGAAGATTCAGATTCTTACTTCATTAATAAGTACTAAGTGCCTATTATGTCCCCTCTACTGAAGGAACATCAGAAACATCCTTATGCATTGTGCATGTATGTGCTATATGTGTATGCATGTGTGTGTATTACACATACATATATACACTCCAAATGAATGGATAGAGGGTGATTCATATTTGGTAAAGGAGTTTTATTTTACTCACCAGATGTTTTTAAGCAACCACTGTTGTTAATATTTTACACAGTTTACAAAACCTTCATTTTTGGAGCACTCTGTGCCTCGTACAGAAATGCCTTTGGTACCTTTTCTCCCTAAAGTCCCCCTCAGACTAGGGCATGACTTCCTCGCTGTGGTTGTTCCTTGCCCAGGAGGTACGTGCACTGAATGAAGGCAGGATCGGCCCAACCCAGGGCATCAGGAGGGTGCTCTGCCTTCTCCAGGATGGAAAGACTTATTATGGATGCGTTATTGATCAGCCACCATTCCAGGCGCTCCCACTGTGTCAGGACAGTCTGGGCATGGGGGTCACAGCATTTTTTCTGTGCAAACCTGCCCCCTCAGCCCTCACACTTCACTAGCGGAGATAACTGGTCAGGGAATGCACCTGGCACCCTGCAAGGGGAAGACTCAAGTTTCCAAGAAAATCTAAACCCTGTGGCACAGAACTCTTGCACTCAGTATCAAGCTGGCTCATACAATTTTGTTGATTCTGGAATTCTGTCTAAGTTCAACCCTCAGTGAACTCCAGCTGCAGTGGCTGCTTGTCTCATTTCATGGACCAGAGCGGCTTGTATAAGATAAAATCCATCATACAAGTTAACATTACGTTCAGCCCATGGAGAGGCCCATAATTTAGCGTTATGTTTGTGAGTGGCCCACTGTGACTGTTACAGTCAGAATAAATTTTGCTGCCCTCACACTCTCCACCTTTCTTCCTGCCAATATATGTTAGGAGAATGGATGTCCCAAAAGACAGTGAAAATAAACCTAATGCTTATAAGAAATATTTTTTTTCTCTTAAAAAAACAAGAAGAAAGAGAACACTGACTTCATGTACCATTTTTCCCTTTTGCTGTGACTTTCATCTCTGCATTATGCAGAGAAAAGAAAAATCCTCAATGTTTTTGTAAACTGGCCTGCAGGGAGATAGTGAGCAACGCCGCCCTTCTACCTTCCTCTTGTGCACTGGGAGTTTTTTCTTCTCTTACTAACAGTCATTTGGGTCATAAATACAATAATTTACTGGCAGGAAGAATACACTTAAATTCTTTAAATGTATCTTGGACCTAAAACATAAGTTCACTGGTGGATTGTAGTTAAATGACAGTTTTCAGAAAGATAAACAGCATTTTTAAGGATGAAAAACTGGAAATACATAATTTAAAAAGTAAGTAGGCAAGAGACTTCCTAATATTTTAACAAGTGTTAAACATTATTTAGCACAAGTAAGAATAGGCAGCATTCTATCAGCTTAAAAGAAGGAGACAGCTTTGAAAACTCCCAATTTCATCCTCATTTCTGCACTTTGTGAAACTGGCACACCAGTATATGATTGATGTCCTGACATTCATATTAAATGTAAAAATATTAGTTAAGGCATGACTGGTAAGTCTAGTCAATATCTGGTGCCAGAAGAAGTGACTTTATATTAATTAAGACTAAGTCAGCAGCTCTCACTGAATGGCTACAGGAGTGTATTGGAAACGGACATTTTCAATATCCAACTGTAAATTCAATTTTGTATTCAGTGGAAAGATCACTGAGAAAACAGAAAACAATATAAACTAATTTAAACAGGATTTAGATTGCAGCATTAAAGCTATTCATGTGGAAAGAAATTAACACTGCTCATACAAATCACATAAAAGACACACTTATAAAAATACCAAATACTTTCTGTGAACATGCTTATGTATAACTCTGAACCTGGGTGCATTTTAGAAACTAGAATGTGCACATGTGCTTTTTCCAAGGTAAGAACTGGGAAAATTGGTATATTATGCAGTGAATATGGACCATTTACTCATTAAAAATTGCCCAATGTTTTCTAATCAGGGTCCTCCCAATGTCACACCTGGGTTACTGCAAATTTTTGCTCCATGGCCTCCCTTGATTTGCATTTTCCTCTTCAATCCAGGCAGTCCTTTGTCACACTCCTCTTTGTTAGACACTGTGGCCGTGCCTTCCCACTTCTGCATGTGCTATATACTCATCTGGGGCACCTCACACTCCTGGTCCATCTGGCTAACTGTCATGCTTCCCTCAAGATTCAGACTGAATGTCTTCCATCAAGGAAGCTTTTCTGTAACCCTGACATGAATTAGGTGTCCCTTTGCCATGTCTCCACAATTCTCTACATATCCTGCTATTAAAACATTAGTCATCATATGGTAATTGTTGGCAAATGGATCTGTCCCTAGTTTCACATGAGAATAAAACTTCCAAAACGTACTTCAGTCTCAGGTCACTCTGAGTTTCTCCCTTTGTAGTTTGTCTGCATTGCATTACACTCTAATGGATTTGCAGTGATTATTACTAGAAAGCTACAAATTCAGTGGTCATTTGGGAAACATCAGTTGATAACAAACATTTTTAATTTCCTGTTAAAGAGTATTTGCACATCGGCTGCCAGAGATAAATGTCCCTGTGGTACTTAAGCTGGGTGGTCCTTTTATCCCTCAGGCCTTGAGGTCATTACCATTGTCAAGGAAATGTCAGAATGAGGTCAAGATGATCACAGCAGCAGAGCCTTCTGTAGTAAGACACTAACCAGCTTATCAAATGACTCAGAAATCTTTTTGAAGCATGTTTAATTCTGGGAGGGTAATAGCTATTTTTGGCTTTGTGAGGAATCAATAATATAATGATGATCATACTTCAATGTCACCACTGAATCCATACCCACCTCATTTAATTTCTGGTTACTTCAGCCTTTGTTCACCTCCCTATCCCTCTCTTCCATGTTTATTGAGCACCTGGCACATAGTAGGCATTTCAGAAAACTGCATATGGGACAAAGCTTTGCCATTCAAGAGCACAAACATGAGCCTCATTTGGGTGCTTGCTGAAAATGCAGCCTCCCCCTAACAGAATCTGTGTCCTACTCCAGTGTGATTCTCATACTCATTAAAGTTTGAGAAGCACTGGAAGAAAACATTCCATAAAGGCCAGGGAAACTGGTTAGGAGCTCATCTAAGTTAAAAGGTCATGAAAACCTGAAATGGAAAGTAGCAGCTGAGACAGCAGACAATATTGAAAGGATTCTTATGAGCTTTGCGAATTCCTGTCCTAAACCTCCCAACCCCATTTAAAGTGTAGCTGCTTAAACATCTGTCATCCCATCCCAGAAAAAGTGTGGAAAAAAAAAATGTCAAAAGCTTGGGAATGGGTGTGGATATTACTGCGAAGGCATGGATCAGAGGACCCTCTCTATGGCCCCCTGGGATTATCTGATTCTATAGGATGAGAACCTCCAATTGTCTTTGACTAGGCTATTTTAGAACTCCTTAGGGATGGAACACATATTGTGAAAAAATGGATAGCAATATAACTAATTCTCCTCTGTAAAAATGAAAATGAATTTTTTTTCCGGTAGAAAATAAAAATCTTTATAAAGTAAATTCTCTTTTGAACCAGTTTTAACGTCTTACTGATTCTCCCAATGAGTTAAATAAAATCATTGGCACATGCTCATTTTATATCTGCAAGACAGTCATGACCCCGCTGCC